GCTACGTTACCTCTCCAGGGTTAGGTTAGCTACCCTGCTAGCTACGTTACCTCTCCAGGGTTAGGTTAGCTACCCTGCTAGCTACGTTACCTCTCTCCAGGCATAGCGGTTCTGTCATGGCCGCCATGTCTGCTTCTTTAGCCGGGTGGTAGTACGAGGACATCATCGCGGACGCGGTGCACACTGATCCAACAAACACCTCGTATGGCCGATTAATGTTGTTCACAGCAGTGCGTGGCCCATCGTTGCCCACGGCCTGCTCAGCATCGTGAGTGGAGCTCCGAGACTACAACCTGACGCAGCTCTCCTCCAGCTGCGGCTTCAGTGCGCGAAGGAGCGATGTCATCTACGCAGGACTCATGTGCTCCACGCACAGACACAAAGGACATCCCTCACACACTTTCAGTATCTGCGTTTTTAATATTTATCACCCAGCTGAAAGGCTAATAGAGCACTGCTACATGTGCTCTGGATATCCTGTAACTGCCCTCTGTTTGTCAGGTTTGGTAAGAACTGATCGGAGACTACGAAATAAACAGAAAACATTTGGCACAGACTCGTAGACAAAGGATGCAAAGTGAATGGTGAGAAACTTTCTGGCTTTAAGTCACATCTTTATTAAAATGTCCTTGCAAATATTACCAACAGCAGGAGAGATCAATAAAAAGGAATAAACAGAGCTCATAACTGCCACAACACTACAGCTCCAATCTGACAGGATGCTCATTGGGACACATTTACCAAACTCACGTGGCTCCTAAATCTGGAAATTAAAACGGCTACACCATCGACCCATTTCAAAACAAAGTTTATTTGTGTTTGTTTGTTTGGGGGGGGGGTGTCTTTTACAGCGCATTGTGTTCTGCGTCCTGACTGGCTGTAGACCATTGTCAATCGATCTCATGCCGTGACTACAACCAAAACCATCGCTACAGTAAAATGAGAGTGTGATGGCACACGTTAGTGGGTCATGTTGAGAGCGTACCATGACACCAGGTTACAGAAACAGACTGACAGGAAGGCTCTGACGTCACAAAGGTCAAAGAACACAGACGATGAGTACGAGACGCTCAGACGGGCGCTTCATTTCAGTACTCGTCTCCTGCAGCCTCCATCTTGTAGCCGTTTTCACTGGAAACGTAGCCATCAGCTGACGGCGCAGACTGCTGGCCCGCCATCATCCCATCCTGGCTGTATTCCTCCATCTGTGGCGGCACTCCTCCATCATCCTCGTTTACCATGTCGTCTTGAGGGCCCATGTCATCTCGCAGGGAGCTGTGGCGCTCCTCTCGCCGCTCTCCCCTGTCCCTCTCTCCACGCTCCCGTTTGTGCTCCCTGTCTCTGTCCCGCTCCCCCCTGCGTCTGTCCCTATCCCTGTGGCTACGCCTTCTGTCCCTGTCCCTGTCTCTGTCTCTACGCTCCTCTAAGCCCTCGCTCGCTTCTCCCTCGTGTTCCTCCAGCATGCGCTCTCCGACCTCGGGGGCAGCTTCTCCTTGGCCGACCTCCTCCCCTCCTTCTGGGCCCTTGACTCTGTCCCTGTCCCTTTTACGATCTCTGCTCCTGCTCCTCCTCTTCCGGTCTCGACTCCTCTCCCTGCTCCTGCTGTCTCCTCCCGATGCCGCCCCACGCTCCCTTTCGCGATCTCGACGCCGGTTACTACCACTGTTGTCGTCTGCTGCTCCGATCTGTCGGTCCCTTTCTCGCTCCCGGGAACGGGTGTGGCGACGGCGTTCGCGAGATCGGGACCGGCGACGCTCTCTGTCCTTGTCCCTGTCCCGTTCACGGCTGCGTTCCCTCCGGTCTCCACGGTCACGGTCACTGTGAGCAGCACAGTTGCAATATTATTTACAGCAGTTTGTATTTTTACGTCAAACTACAAGTGTAGAACGAAGACCCACCCCCCAAGAGGACGGTCGTCATAGCGTGACGCGTCATCTCGACCAGAGTGCTTGATGTTGACATCAGCGCCGCCTCGCCTGGTGCCACCCAGTCCACCTCCTACACAAAGAAACCACAAACATTTCTAACATGTTCATGAGACGTCTGCTTTCTTAGGTGAATGTTGACAGCGCCACCTTGTGGAAACAGAGGCGCTACACCTTACAGTCCCACAGTGGAGGGACGCCTGACGGCAAACTTAGAAAGCAGTGCTCACCTAGCCTGCGAGGACGCCACCCTTTGACAGTACGTCCTCTTTCCACGTCCACCAGGACCCTTCTGCCATCAATCTTCTTCCCGTCAGCATGCTTATAGGCGGCTGGAGAAGAGTAACGGGAAGAGGGAAGATAAAAGGTGAGGAAAGGGAGCGAGGGAATATGGCTAAGGAAACAAACAGTGCATTATTATACTGACCAGGAGCAGGCGAAGCCGACATGGCTGCTCTCTGGGCAAAAGTCGAAGGATAATGGGAGCAGACTTCCTTCCACCCGAAGAGTGATTGTTACATTACACCGTTTCTTTTACTTACTCAGGGTCCTACACCAGCTCCACCACAGAGCTGCTGTTTTAAGCTGTGGCATGTTTGGATTCACTGCTGCTAAACCTTTGTGTCACCCGCTGACACGTCTACAATAAGTTTGTTTTCTAGAAGATTTAAATGCATCGAGCTACAAACTGTTGGTAAAAAGCTGCAGCAGCTTCTGTTATTACACAAAGCTGCTTTCATTTACAGGTTTGCTGAGAGCAACATACAGTAGGAACATCAGGACCTGGCAAACTGTCCACTCGTATACCACACCATGGTATGACCCAGGTTGAAGAACGTGCCACGATCCAGCTAAGCTACTTGATGTGTGGACCCAAGGCTAAAACGTTAGCATCCATGAGAGGGGCCTTACCAAAACCCACCAGACACAACATCATTTCACTGATAAGAGTTCAGAAAGGCTCAGGCCGAGCTTGAAGGCCTCACTAAAGTACCTCCACACCACGACAGTGTCACAGCACATCTACTTACCATACCCCGAACCCATTTCCCTCTTCAAGAAGGGTTTTACCACCAGTCCTACTGACATGGACCACGTGGGGAAAAGGAAAGGAAACGTGGAAAAATATAAACAAAAACCCAAAACAAACAAAACTGGGCTTCTTTGCAGGACTGGCTTTATCACAACTCCAACCTACTGAGGAAGAAATGTTCCTAACACTGGCATGCCATGGATGTGTAGGCTGAGATGCATTCAGATGTTATAAACTGGAGTTGTAGAAACTAGCAGCTGAAACTTTGGCCTGGTCACTTCCTGTTGTATTGACTATCTGCCTGGATACGCAGTGAAAATCATTAAAGCTAAATGAGAGCGAGGCTGAGAACCACAACGGTTTGTTTGTGGCTGCAACTACGCAAAGGGGCTGATCACATGACCCCGACAAGCCTGGTTGAGGGAAGAAAACCCAAACTGGGGGGGCTCATACACGACACTCGGAAACTTCAAGTGAATCATGTTAAAGCTGTTTTGCAGCCCCCCCCGCACTAACTTATCCATTTTGTTGGTGACCCGTCCTGGAACACTTTGACCTGACAGCACAGGAACCTCGTGGTTAACGTGTGGAGCTTCACTCTTCACTGTGGTGAACAACAAGATTATCGGAGTAAATAAATGATGAGATTAAAGCTTTTTGGTGACAGTCTGCAGTTTGTAAGGCTGCCAACTTAAGCATTGCAGCAATTTAGTGCTGTGCAATGAGAAAGACTGCAAACTCCACGTCACAACAAACTCCAGCTAATGCGAATGGCAGCCATTTAATAATGCGTGTGGCGCTCTCAGGCTCAGCTACCAGTCTGCCTTCATTAACCTGAGGTGACATTTAGGACAGGCGGTCGGGTGCGTTCAATGGTAAAAGTCTAAATAAAAGCTCTGTAGGGTCTGCAAGAAGGCGCTTTACCCATTGAACCCTATCCCTATGTAGGAGATGGAGGGTGGAAAAAAATCTTACCCATCATACAAACCCATTATACCAACCATATACTGAGCTGTGGTAGTAGGGTGTAGATGTATCATAACCATCATCATCTGCCAGCCAGCTCTGGCCAATAGCCATCACAGATTGGCGGCTGCAGTGGCAATGAGAACAACATACAGTTAATACACTGTTTACCCCACATTCCCCATCAGTTCATCCCCTGCTCCAACTACACAACTGTGATTCAGCAACTCTGGTCTTGAAGAGCTGATTGCACCAACATCCCAGAATGGCGTCATTGTGTTCGATGACACCATTCGACTAAAGAGACAGTATTTACTGTGGCATCGCCGCCAGCTTAACGTATCTCGCTAGTGTGGAAAGGCTGAATTAATCTCACCATGACCAGGGTTGAAGACCACCGATAGATTGTAAAACGTGGGCTTTGACACACGTCTGGTAAAAAACCCATTCAATGCTTGGTGACCAGTCTGACTATGTGCTTACCATTATAGTCCAACCGGGAGAGCTGCTCTTCCACAAAGCTACAAGGCCTAACAGTTAAAAAGACAATGTGCCTTTGACAGGCAAAGATGTTCAGGCTCACAAATGAAACAGTTGACCCCGCCCCCACACAAGATGCAAAAAAGAAAAGAACGCCGTCCTTAGACCAGACTGATGACACGCATCTCTCACACACACATGCGCGCG